AGAGCCTTTACTACATGAAAATGAAAATTAATGAATACACTGTGTACAGTAATTTACCTGATAAGACAGACCTCAGAAAAATACTTTATGAGAGCTTTTATACTTTTATAAAGCTGTCTATAATGAAAATTAATTAACTAAGGATTTTTTTGCCCTGCCAGGGTGTGGCCGAGTTATCCGGAGTGCCGGGTTATCGAGTGCCGAGTTTTCGAGGTTCTACTGTATATATTATGAAAACAATAAATGTAATAATTAATTGCAATATTGAATTTTCTGACTACTTCATTAATGTAAAAATTATTACTTTTTCACTTCAGACTAAGCAATTCAATTACATTTCTTTCTTTCATAAGACTAATTACTACACAGAACTCATTTTTGCAACATCAAATATCCATTTAAAGTTATAAGATGTCAAAATAGTTAAATGTTTGGTAATTGGCTGACAGAAAATAAATGGTGGATAAAATCTGTGCACAGTCTAATAAGCAGTCAATTATTTATGAAAAATCAATATCTAGCTTAGTATTTTTATATTAAATTGTTCGGTGGAAATTTTTTTGAATGTTCTGATCATATTCCTGCTTACTATGCAGACGTATTGCCAGTTACTCTACCCAGACTGCTATCCAATCTTTGCTTCCAGAGCTTGCCTAGCTCTTTACCAGGTGTGTCTAATTACTAAATATCATATACATATATATAAATTGATTGAATATTCAAAATCTTAAAATTTAAAAAATGTTTTTTAGCTTCCATCTCTAATCCAACCATTAACATCATACACCTGATTACTTAACATTTTTTTTACAATAATCACACACATTAAACTCATTAACTCTATATACCAATCTTTTAGAATATGTTCAACACCATCCTTCCAGTCTTTATAGCTCAAATTATAAATTATTTAACTGAAATTTAAGTTTCAATTTTGGAATCTTGCACTCTGAAAAGGAATATTAGCTACAGATCACTATACTTTGTAGAACTACATAGCATAGTGCTCAAATTTTGTAATGTACTCGTTTTGGAATGCAAGATTCAAAAATTTGAACTTAAATTTCAGTCAAGTTATTTGTAATTTGAACTATAAAGACCTGACAAAGGGTGTTAACAGGTCATAAAAATGTTGGTTTGTAGTCAATAAATCTGCTGGAGTTTAAGGTACAGTATATGATTATTGTATTTACAGGAGTCCAATTGAACTTTAAAGGTTAAAAATATTTTTTATTTTATTAGAATACTACTAGTAAGTATAAAAACTTTAACCTATACAATACACTTTAATTTTCATAAAATACACAACACTTGGTATCATGTTCAAATAAATGGAAAATCAAACTTCTTGTTAAGGAAGCCATAAATAAAACTTCTTATTTTTAGCTTTCTTAACAAGAAGTTTGAATTTCCATTTGTTTCATAAAATAACTTAGTCTCCACTAACTCTATTATAAACATTCTCCAAAATTTTTCAGTCTGTACTTGAAATTAGTGATCAGTTTAAATTTTGTCTTTTGGATAAATTTTCTTCTCTTATACACTCAGCAATCCATTCTTCCATTTTGAAAGAATTAAAATCTGGAATCTGACCATTTAATCCATTTTGTGAATACCCAATTTGTTTTGATTTAACACAAGTGACCTAAATTTTTTTTTAATTTTTTCATATTATAGTATAGGCAGTGCTTGCTTTGCATTATTCATCTCCATGCTGTTGTTTTTAGTTCCAATTATAATTGTATATATAACTTCAATAAGTAATCTGTTTCATCTGCATTTTAAATTTAGTGTTTAAATTGAAAAGTACCTTTTTAATGTTTAGTGATATAAAAAATTTAATAAAAGTTAAAATAAAATTTGTGCACCTGTAAATTTATTACTTTTCCTGAAAAATCAATAAAATGAAGATTTGAAAATTATAACTTAATTATGACTGAAATACTCTTTGGTAGCCCTTATACCATTTGAGCAAAACAGGTGATGACCAAGATATCAATATTTATAGTGATAGTAGTGATATTGCTGCCTTACTCAAATGAATATGTTTATTGTCATAAAGTGATAATAAATAAAATATTACATGTAACTCATTTTGTCTAATTTTTGAGTTTATGAATTAGTAACATGTTATTTTTGTTTTCAAACAATAATTTACTTTATATAAGCAATTATTTGTTGTGACATTGCCACAATGTCAGTCTACAATTTTTAATCTTAGTTTTGATTTATTTAATTTAAAATATATATGCTTGGAGTGCATAAACAGTAGAACCTCAATTATTCGGACCTCTGTTATCCGGATTTTCAATTATCCGGATTGTTCAAAATAAACAAAAGTTTTACAAATTTTCTGATTTGCACTTGACGAATTACAACACTGTTTATGTATGTGATGGAATGCACAAGTTTTTTTGTTTCAACAGGGTCTCACCCAGCACAGTGGTCATAAACTCTTAAATATATTTTATGTCGTAATAAAAATATAACTTGACATATGTATTTATAAATTATTTATATTCAAATTACATCATTTCTATGACCAAGGGCGGCATAAGGCATGGACGACGTGGGCCACTGCCTATGCCTCGTGGTCTGAAGGGCCTCGTGCCTCAAAGGTTCGTGCATTACTTAAAAGCCGCGAATGCAACGAAAAAATTTTATTCATCATAAAATGATAAATAGTTTGTGAAATTTTTATTCATAAAAGTGCAGTTTCAATTGCTTTTTATTTTATAAAACCCTTCTTCTTGCACCACCAGAGGGCCTTTTAAACAATAGGTAGTCTGTTAGTGCTGGTCAGTAGTAGTCCAAATTCAATACAAACATTTGTTTCTTGAAGATTTGATCACGATTTAAATACAGTATTTATTTTTAATATTACCGATATGTCATTGAAAAGAAAACGTGTTGTATTATCATTAAAAGACAAATTAAAGTATTTGTTTCGATTATCCGAATTTTTCCATATCCAGACTACCTTCATCCCCAATTAGTCCAGATAATCAAGGTTCTACTGTATTTTAAATTAATAGTGACTTGCCCCTATACATCATACTTTTCCCTTAATAACAGAATAATGCTGTTCATCTATTAACTCCTTTCAGGGAAAGTTTTGAATTGAAATAACATGTATACAGGTTAACATCACTTGTTAATAAGTACTGGTAAAATATACAATAAACTCCAAACAAACTTTAAATAACCAGTAAAATGTTTTAAAATAGTGCAAACGTTTTTGACTGTTATTTCTGGTCTTCTTCAGGTTAACCTGAAGAAGACCGGAAATAACGGTCAAAAACATTTGTAGTATGTTTAAATATTTTACTGGTTATTTAAAGGTTGTTGGGAGTTTATTGAAATAACATGACTTCCAGTTTGCATCAAAGTTCATATATAGTTAANTTCTTCAGGTTAACCTGAAGAAGACCGGAAATAACGGTCAAAAACATTTGTAGTATGTTTAAATATTTTACTGGTTATTTAAAGGTTGTTGGGAGTTTATTGAAATAACATGACTTCCAGTTTGCATCAAAGTTCATATATAGTTAATCAGAGTCTCCTGTCCCTAAGGTTTCCATGTCTGGATTCGTCTTTCATCTATCTAACTCTGTTCTTGAGATTAAGGACAGACTGATTGCAGTGGAAATTTATAGGTCTACAATTTTTTCAAATTTCAGCCCAATAATACATTTATATATACATGTGCAATCTTTATGAAATAAAAAGTGCAATCATATAAAAATGATAAAATGTTAAAATGATTTTTAATATGATTTGTTGTATTATTTTTGCTGATTTTTTAGGTCTGAAATCATTCTTCTAGTTTTTCATAGATACAGTATATTTTTTACACATTCGTCAGGAACCTATCTATCACACAAAAAGAGAATTGAATGTACTTGCATTCTCAAACAAGTCTGGTATTAACTTAAACATAAAATGAAACTACAACAAAATAACATCTAGTAATTCTCCAGATTATCTAAATACTGTACAGAATTTTTCTAAATAAATCAATGGGTTCAATAACAAATTACAAAATAAAACTGAAAACACCATGCCTTCCAAACACTGATAACTAAATAACACAGTATTTCAGTTATTGTTTTGATGATTAAATAAATTCTTTTTTATTTGATATATTCTAATTTTTTCAATACATCTAAATTTCTGATTACTGTTTTAATGATCAAAGTAATATATACATAAGTTATTAAAACAAGAAAAAATTAATAAACCATATAGTAAATTTAAAATGAAATATTTAGTATTAACATTTTTTTTCAAATCTTAGATTTAAATACAATCAGCTAATGTAATGGGTAAAAGATAGAGATAAAGACATGGAAAACAATTAAAATTTTAAACTGAATCATTATTAGCATTATTACTGTATATTATACATTTTTATATTTAATAAGATATACCTTTTTGAACAATAGAATATCTAGGATTTGTCATATCCAAAGGTATCATATCCTTTAACCATCTGATAGTTGGCTCTGGATAACCTTCAATTTCACATGGAAGAATAGCATTTCGCCCCTTTTCTACTCCTTGCATTGAAGGATGAGTTTTAAAATCTGGAAATCCTGGTGGCAATGCATCTTCTAAATTTAAAAAATTAAAATTATTTTAAAAATAAATTTACTCAAATAATAGAGAATGAATTCTTAATAATAAAATGTTACTTAATATATGATGATTTAATTAAAAAATTGATCCTCAAAACTTTTGATCAAGGAATAACTTTAAATTCAAAATTATAAAATAAGGGATTGTTTTATGCAATGATAAATTTTGTTTTCCATCTTTAACTAAATAAAAATGATTAAATAAATGTAAATTAATTATTGAGTTTTAATAATAATAATAATAATAATAATTTTAATGACTATCATAGTTCATTTAAAGAATTGTTAATAACAATAGTATATAATTGAATTCATGTCTATCTGTCTATTAGCTGTTTGAGTGTCACATGAGAATGGTTGAAAAAATTTCTATGAAACTTTGTAAATAGATTCAGAATAGTATCAGAAAGAATGTAAGCTACATTTTATTTATACAACTATTCTATTTTACAAATTTTGATAGAATTATGATATCATTTGCAAAAGTACAGTACATAGCTCATATCTAGTTATTATAAGTCTTTATCATGAATAGGAAGTTTTGTCTGGAAACTGATGGATGTGAAGTGAATCAGGAAATTCAAATACAATCAGCTAATGTTATGGTGATTAATGGGTAAAAGTGGACATCAGTGACAATCGTTAAAGCCTGTTATTTGAGCAAAACACACATGAAGTCTGAGCATTTGACTTCAATTTGTCATCATCAGATTAAAAAGCAGTTGAACACATACAAAAATTCAAACATCACTTTAAATAAACTGGAAAAATTGTTTTTTATTCAACCAATTCAAGAAAAAATGGTTCTAAATCAGAGCAATGGCTAAATCACTTAACATGCTATCAAGGAACACAATTATTCTATCCAAAAGGGCCTCCTCACCACAACATTAGCAACACTTGCTATAGAAAATGATGTACAGGTACTTCTCATTGAAGCAAATCTAATATATCCAATTAGAAACTGGACCAATCTAAAACATCTGAGAAATTTGAAATTTACAAAGTTACTTTTCAGAATACTGCAATAAATTACAGAGATACAAAGAGATTCTCTAAAGCATGGAGGTTCATCTTTGAAGTACAACTATAATTTTAAGTCTATGACATCCTTGTGTGTATATATATATATTGTAGGTCTCTCTTGTCGTCTTGTAAAAAACATTGTTTTCTTTTGCTTCTGTTTTATCTTTCAGTATATATATATTTTTTCCTTACGATTTGTCTACCATCAATGCTATTATTGTAAATGATCATCTCCATTACTGTATGCACAGTTTTATTTGTAATTGTAAAATAAAAACGGGGGATTTATTTTTTTGTTATTTTTGGGCAGTTTTTGTATGCAGCACTGTGTTGGCGGTGGGGGTGATATATATGGTGTGCGGGACCGGCAATGGGTCATTCTGGTTCCTGGTGTTCAGCTTGTGGGAGTGTGTCGTCTCTTGGAGCTGTGTGTGTTTCTGGTAAATTCTTCTCTTTGTTTGTCATGGTGGAGATTTGTGATTTTGAAATCTGTTTCCATCAGTGAAAGGAATAGTGAAACACAGTATAAACTTTGTATAAGTGAAATAATTGCCAGTATACAATATCACCGAGTGAATATTTTTAGCCTGTTTATTGGATTTGTTCACTGGTTCTTTGCCGAGGGATTCTTTGTGTGAACTGCCATGTGTCATGTACCCTAGTTTTTGGGGATATTGTATATACATTTTGTACATAAAAAGTTAGTTTTAAGTATCTCTCATGCTTGTCTCTCCTTGTGGTAATCCAATTCATTCACTCCTGCGAATTTTAACACCACGGATCTTCGCAGATCCCACAAGTCTTAGCCTTAAAAAAAAATCTGGTTATGTCACTGTTGACATCTGTGCTTTCCACCAATGAAATAATTATTCCATTTTGTTTAAAGTGACTTTTGAATTTTTCATATATATATTTGATGGTCTTTTAACCTGATGATGATGATTTAAAAATCATCAGTAACATTTGTTTTTTTGTTATTATTTAGTAAAGTATATTATTGATAAATTATAAATGAGAATATTCATTCTATTGGCTTTTTCACTTGAATCACTAATTTAGTAAAGTATATTATTTATTAGATATTACTGGTATTTTTTTTTGTTATTTATACTTAATTAAATCCAATTTTCAAGTATGGCATAGTTATCTTTTGAAATTTTCATTACAAATATTGTTGATCTAAGAAATTTGACTTATAACTATGAAGAAAGACCATTAGCCATCATTGTTTTTTTGAACACTTGGCTTGTGGTTTTGTTTTTATCACTGATTGGTTTAATAATATGATTCAAGTGAAAAAGGCAATACAGTAGAATGAATTTTCTCATTTCTCTGCTGCACATTTGCTTGTGTCAAATAATTGCTGATATGTTGCATATTTGTTCAAACTAACCAAATATGCATATTATAATTTCAGGAATATATTAACTTTACTTAATACATATATCATTTTCCCAAGCAAATTACATAAAACAACTAGTATTATATAAAACAATAATACATTTATAGTAATTAAAATAAACAAACATAAAGGTATAGGTATGTTTTTTTAATAAAATTTACCTTTAAAAACATCTAAAAATTAATTCCATATTCACAATGAATTGGATGGAAATACATTATGATTAAACTCTGCATATTGATTTAATTTCTTTCTTAATACTATTCATATTTTTGGTTTTTTTCATGTTTATATATATATATATAAAGTTTAGAATGTATTAAGATGAAACAAATGAAAACTAACAATGAAATTAAATAAATGATTGCTTCATATTAAATTTTATCAATATTTCTAGTTCACTTTCAGAATCTCTAAATAATTTTTAAAGAAGTCAATCTCTTATATTTTGTAAATAAGGTTATACATGAAGTTTTGGACAAAAGTAAATAAATATTGAATGTAATTATCATTCAAAAAATATAACTTCAATGTAACTAAAACTATATTCTAAATATTCTTTAAAATTGGATAATTTTTATAAAATTAAAAAACCAAATAACTTCTATATTTTAACATGGATTATAAAAACTCAAAAAATATTCAAAATACAAAGTCATCTGCTAAGTAGATCTGCAAGTAATTTATATTATCAGAAGAAAAATTTAAAAGACAACTGGTCAAATGATGAGTTCAAACCATTAATCTTGAAAAACCAATCAATTTTATTGCTATTTTTATTTTATTCATTATAAAATAAAAATAACTACTATTAGAAAATTAAACTAGATACCAGCTGAACTAAGTATTATTCTGACATTATTAAGATCATCAGCAATTACTAAATTAAATTAATTTAGCTGTCAGAGTTTTCAATTCTACTATTTATTTTTTTCCATGTATTGTAATTTTCAAAAGAACATTTTTTAACAATAAATTTTAAAATATTTCCTAAAGTTTATTATTTTTTATATTTTATTAAAAATGCACAAAATAAAAGTTATTGTATGAATATTGATTATGTTTAATTCTTTCTGTTAAATAAATAAAATTCATTTAAAATTCCTATAATTGTTTTTATATTAATTTTTATGTTAAATATAAAACTTTGTCTTCATACTGACATTATCTATTTATTTCAACTCCATATCCTTAATAAACTAATTTTAATAAATTTCAACAGAGTATTTTTAAATCATTTTTATGTTTAAAATCACCATTTAATTGGCTGCAATTTGAAAAAATTGTAGACCTATAGATTCCCACTGTAATCAGTCTGTCCTTAATCTCAAGAACAGAGTTAGATAGATGGAAGACAAGACTAGATATGGAAACTTAGGGGCAAGAGGCATCAATTAACTATATTTGAACTTCTAATACAAACTGAAAGTCATGTTATTTCAATTCAAAAATTTTCCCCTAATGATGTTAAATAGATGACCAACATTACTGTTGTTAACAGAAAAAGTATGATGTATAAGGGCAAGTCACTACTAATTTGAGGTGGAGAGCATAGAGAGCATATACAGTATTTTAAATTAAATTAAATTAATTAAAAATACGATTAAAAATTGCAGCCCGGCATTGTGACAATGTCACAATAAATAATTGTTCATTTGTAATATTTTCTTATACTTCTCTACTCTTATATTTATGTCAGATTACTTTTGTTCAGTTAAACAAAAATTTTACACCTTGCTCTAACCTTATTTTTGTATTTCTTGTATATACAGTACACATACAACATATGCACAGTTATACAACAGAACCCTGATTAACCAAGGTTCTGCATTATCTGTTGTAAACCTGTAAGTGAATACACCACTTTTATTATTTGTAAAATAAAGTTTAAAATGCAACATGCATTACAAAATGATTTGTTTTTGTTACTTATTATCAATTAATTTTAATGGGAGACAAATCAATCATATTAAAATGTAATTATAATAATACATACTTTTATTTTTAAAACTACTGTAGGTGTATTAGCTGTGTAATAAATGATGCAAAGAAATCTGTTGTTATACTAACTCAAATGCCCCAGAGGTTGAACAAATTGGAATTTGAACACTTTTTTGAGGAAGTTTGTCCCAAAATCAAAATTTTCTTGAAACTCAAGCACAAGAAGGAATACTGTATGGTATATATTTGTACAGATATGCATGATGAAACAGTGTTGCTAAATTAAATTAATTTTCATTTTGGACTACTTGTTACTTTTTGGGCAGAAAATAATGAAAATCCATTACTTTTCTAAATTCATTGCTATGAGTTTGGGACATGTTAAATGAGCCCAGCCATGATCAGTTCATCTCCTATCATTCTGAAAGTATGCTCAGACAACTTGTTTTTTTACTTGTAGTATTATTAACAACACCCCAGTGCATTCAACATGGCACCTAAGAAGTGTTGAGGCTATGAAACTTCAGAGGAAGCTTGAAAGAACAACAACTGAGGTTAAAAAAGAAACTCATTGTTAAGCATGAAAGCAGTATGTGTTTCTGGTTTC